CATGTGCAGCTTTCAGTCCAAGAACTTTCAGTATGTGCTGGCCCTGATGTTTTCTGTCAAGGAGATCAACAGGAACTCCCACCTCCTGCCCAACCTCACTCTAGAATTTGATCTCTACAATGTCATGCCCAGCAATGTGAAGATGCTGAAGAATGCAGTCATGTGGCTGACAGGGACAAACACAAGCATCCCTAATTACACATGCAGGAGAGAGGCCAAGGCTGTGGTGATTCTATCAGAGACCGGAATTTCCATCCAGATGGGGATGCTGCTGGAACTGTACAGAATCCCACAGGGCAGGGTACATGGGGAGCAGAGAAAATGAAACCCACTTCACTGTGATGCACTTTTCAGAACCACATCTGTCATGGGATGGGGTATACACATGAGTCACAATGAGCACTCTGAGCAGGAGTGTGCAGGATCCCCAGGATCCTCTCAGGGAGCACAAAGCCCAACTGAGAAGGAGCTAGGGGGCTTGGCTAGATGTATGCTTCTGATAGCGGATAATCCAGAAAGGTATCCAGCAGACAGAAGATGAAAACTTGAGCAATTCTCAGCTTTAAAACACTGTGGCCAATGTAACATCTGCTACATCAGTGTGATGTCTTACAGCACTGCAGTCACTCACATGTATTCTGCAATTTCCTCTCCTCAGCTCACATTTGGCCCTTTGAATCCTCTTCTGAGTGACAGCAGCCAGTTTCCCTCCGTCTTTCAAATGGCCTCAAAGAACACTTCTCTGACCCTCGCCATGGTCTCCCTGATGCTGCATTTTGGCTGGACGTGGCTAGGACTGGCAATCCTGGATCACCAGAAAGGTGTGGTGTTTCTGTCTGAGTGCAGAGACGCAGGAGCTTGGCCTCTGCATGGCCTTTGTGGAGCCAATACCAGTCAACAACCGCATTGTTCCCTTAGCAGATCTAAAAACAGCCAACCAGCATCATGATGTCCTCAGCCAATGTCGTTGTTCTCTTTGGTGACACAGAATCATTCATGAACCTAATGTTGGCACTGACAAGGTCTCTGATAACATGGAAGTTCTGGGTCATTATCTCCTACTTGGATTTTGCCACCAATAGGCAAAATGTCCTGTTGCATTCCTTCCATGGCACCCTCATCTTCACTCAGCAACGCAAAGAGATCTCTGGCTTCCAACACTTTCTGCAAACAGCAACCCCTTCCAAGTACCCAGAAAACATTTTCTTGCTCTATTCTGGTCTCTGGCCTTTCACTGCTTCATTTCCAATGCTGACTGCAGGACCCTGCAAGGCTGTCCCCCAAATGCCTCCCTGAAGTGGCTGTCCTGGCAGGATTTTGACATGACAATTAGTGAAGGGTGCTATCACATATACAATGCTGTGCATGCTGTGGCCCACTCTTTACACAAGATGCATAAACATGCATCAGAAATGCAAGCATCAGGACCTGAGGAGAAAAGCATGATTCCCCACTAGCAGGTATGCTGTGTTCCTGGGCTGATATGTGCTCCAGCTAACATGTTTCAATGTGATGGTTCTGCATGTAGGAGAATCCCCTTGCAAAGGACTGTAATAAAATGTACAAGAAATCTTGCAGGTATACATTTTCTGGGAGGTACAGGGACAGATGGGCAGGGTCATCTGTGTCATTGACCAGGAAGAAGACACTGGATCACTACCAGGGCTGTCATCCAAACAATTCAGATTCCAATGCAATAGTGTTGACATAGCAGATACATGGATTCCATCACAAGATGCTCAAACTGCGTTGTTGGGGATTGAGCTCTGTCTGTGTCCAGTGGAGCTCAGGACTCTAGTGCCCAGTGGGCATGAATGCTCTCTTATCATCTGTTCACACTGGGTGGTGGGCCACTTCCTTTGGCTCACCATGACTACACACAAGTACTTGAGCAAATAGGACAAGTTGGAGAATCAGGCTTCAAAAGAAGCATTGAAACCTCATGCCTGCTGCTGTGTGATGGGCCATGCCTTTGTCATCTTTTCTTTGACTGGGGACTAAGAACGATTGAATGGAATTCTCTGTGTTCTTTCCTCTGTGTGATGCAGTTCATGGGGAGGCAGTGGTCACAGACAGAGACCTTGTCCTCTGCTCCTTCCTCTTCGTTGGCCGTCCCAACACAGCCACCTGCCTCCTAAGACAAATCACATTTGCCCTGGTGTTCACACTGGCTGTTTCTGCTGTGCTGGCCAAAACCATCACTGTGGTTCTGGCCTTCAAGGCCATGACACTTGGAAGGACCATGAGGCGATTGCTGGTGTCAGGAGCCACAAATGCTGTCATTCCTATCTGCTTCCTCATCCAACTGACTCTCTGTGCCATCTGGTTGGCAATGTCTCCTCCCTTTGTGGACACAGATGCACACTCTGAGCATGGACACATCATCCTCTTGTGCAACGAGGGCTCCATCACTGCCTTCTACTGTGTGCTGGGCTTCCTGGGCTCGTTGGCCCTGGGCACCTTCTCTGTGGTTTTTCTTGTCAGGAAGCTGCCTGACACGTTCAATAAGCCAAGTTCCTGATGTTCAGCATGCTGGTGTTCTGCAGTGTGTGGGTGACCTTCCAGCCTGTGTGCCAGAGCACCAAGGGGAAGGTCATGGTGGCCGTGGAGGTCTTCTCCATCTTGGCATATGGTGCTTGTCTCCTGGACTGCATCTTTGTCCCCAAATGTTACATTCTCCTATGGCCTGAAAAGAAATCTCTGAATGGAATCAGAAATACTCATAGTATAGCATCTCTAAGGCTCTCTCACATTTTTAGGAATGTGAACCAAATCAGACACAACTCTGACTTCATCTTCTGATACTATAGATCCAGCTGACAGTGCATTGGTGATCACATCCTCCTCCTTTTAAAGGCAGCTCAGCATCCCATTCTCCCCTGCTGGTTCAGTGGTGGTACCTACCCCATTTTGGACTAAGATGGCTCTCAAACTTTTCATTTTTGTCTGTTTTCCTTATTCCTAACTGAAAGACACTCATTATTCTTATTTTAATGAAATAGGTAAGCTTTCATGTGGAGTGGCACTCTGAAACCCATCCATCAGATGCCCTAGACCCCGAACTATTACACTATCAGCTTACTGGAGTGTGCTACCAGGTAGCCTGACTTACTGTGTGGACTGTGGCTGCCTTGCTGGCAAGCATGGCTGGGAATAGAGCAGCGCCTCAATGTGCCTCCTTTCTAATTAGTTGTTGTAGTGACCATATCCCCTTCCTCAGTTAGTAGGTTTGAATTTTAGAATCCACTCCTGAAAACAGTTACTCCTTTGCTGATTCAGTGACTGTAACTTCATTTCCTTGTTGGGCTAACTTTAGCAGGGTTTCTGTGGTTGCCTAGGTCACCTGCATGATATGATATATATATATATATATATGCGGGAGTTCAATAAAAATGGTGCTTGGCTTCACTCATCTTATATTTCCTGTGTCCTATCTTTCTCATTATGTCATCACACTTTGGGTCCTGGCCTCCTCAGAGGATCTGCCACACGTTCACATTGTCCCGATAATTTCTCCATCTTAGTCTTGATATTAAAATGATCTTTTAAGGAATCTTGTTGTTTTGTGAATGCATGGCTTGTCATACACAGTTATCTGACCACACGTATATATATTTGTCACATAAATCCTCCACAAAATATCTTTATCCTAGATTTGTTTTCGCTCTTGTTGTCGTGGAACCAAGTTATCATTATGTAAATAGTCCTAAGGACATGCACTCTTCCATCAACTCATTATATGCAAAGATTTTGCCTTTGTGGGTTTTTTTGTTTGTTTGTTTTTGTTTTTGTTTTTGTTTTGCCCTACACTTCACCCTTAATACAAAAACCTTAGTTACCTCTTCAGGTGAGAATGATAGAACAACATTTGATCATCTTAACCTGAAGAAATCAAGTCATTGGCAGCATATCACGTGTTAGAAAACCATCGACTATTAGTGGTTGTGAATGACTCCATTGTCCCTTAGGCTGTCACTGTCCATTTTTGTGCTCTTCAGTCAGCCACCAATCTGCTTTCAATGTCTGTTTCTACAACTTTCGCTGTGCTGAATATATCCTGCCAGTCACACCAAGTGCTCTGTGACCCGTGAGGTTGGCCCTCTTTCATTTAGCATCTTCCTTTCTGGTGTCATCCACATGTTACCAAGCATCCCTCACATGTCTCATGATGAAATAGCCACTTGGTTACATGCATAAATATTAATTTCTGCACAAGTAGATAGGCAGAGTGTTTGTAAATTTGTTTGGTGCAGGGGGCTGCTGTGAACACTGGTGTTATACATTGGTTTGAATAGGTTTTGTCAGATTCATGAATACATTAATGAAAGTGGAATGGTTACGTTATAGGTGATTTATATGTCTATTTCCTTCAAGAGGATCCAAGTGTTTGGAGCTGTATTCATCGTGTCTTTTTTCATCCTCAATGTATGTGGGCGATGCATTTCCCTGCATGACCCCAGTCACCAGTGAAGGTGTTGCTCTCCATTTGCAAATATCATGGTATCTTATCTGGTGTATGCGAGGTGCTATCTCCATGTGGTTTTGATGGGTACATCTATCATTACTCAGGATTAGTAGGCTTAATGCTGCTTTTTTGGCCACATGGTTCTCTGTGGGGGAAACATCCAAATTCTATTCTCATTGTCAGTGGTTTTCTTTTTATTGTTGTTGTTGCTCCTACTTGGTGCATATTTTGATGCCAGGTGATCTCTGAGAAACTTTGTTGGCATCTCCCATTCTCTGCGTGGTGTTTTCTATTTCATGATGTCTTTCATACACAAGGTGATAGATCTGGGCACATTTTCTGAAATGTTTCTTGAAGCTTATCACAATAAATAAATGAAGGGAAATATAATTGACAGGAACATATGAAGCTCTAACAGATTTCAGGTGTTATAATGGTTCAAGCAAACCTCAGGTAAACAGATGAATCTTCAATGAACTTGGTAATGTTGGAAGACGATATTTGTGCATTTTAAAGCCCTGTTTACATTGCAATCATGGTCATGAGCTTTTGTGTAAGATTCATGTATTTATGTGAATGTCAGAGTTTGAGAGACAAGGAGAGATACAGAGAGACCTTTGACCCACAGCTTCATTCCCACAAATAGCTGCTAGAGCTGGAGCTGGGCTGACCTGAAGCCAGGAGCAAGGAGCTCCTTCCAGGTCCCCCATGTGACTGCAGGTGCCCAAGCACTTGGTCTGTCCTCTGCTGCTTTCCAGACACACGAGTGTCTTTGTGCAGCACATGATCTCTAATGCCAGATGAGTGGTGACAAACACTTGCTTTCCGGTTTGTTCTGGAACAGTTTCATTTCACCTTCATTTGATGATTTAATGGGGGTGCTCCACAGGGGCACAGGGCCAGTGTTGCAAGGTAGAAAAAGTTGGCTTGTTGGCTTTTTTTTCTTTAAGATTCAATCATTTTTATTGGAAAGTCAGATTTACAAAGATGCACAATTTTTTTTCTTAAGAATATCAGCCTTTCTTTTCTAGGATTTGTGTTTTTAAAAAGCATTGGCCAGCACTCTAGAATTCTGTCAGATGCTTCCTGTCTCCAAATCACTTTGACGTCTCTGTTCCTTTTGGTTTCTTGAGGGAATCAACACAAGGAGGATCTCTTTCTTTTGATCTCTTCTCTACATAAATCCCCTTTTCAATAATAATAAACAAGTCTTTTAAAAACTGATGTATGGCTCCACAGTCATTGGGAAAGGGATGTTCTTGTGCGTATTTCCTCACCCAGCATTGGTGTGAGATCAGAGTGGACAGCAGGGCAAGCTGTACAGCTGCTTCCTCTTCTTCTGGACTTTTGGGGTTTTCAAGCTAAAATGTTCCTGCATGATCTCACCCAACGCCTTTCATGACCACTTGGATCATCAAAGTGGTTCTCTGACAATGTCTCTGGCCCAGATCTCACGGGCACTCCTCCCCGGAGTATTTCTGTTCATGGAATTGGATGACATGACGGCACCTGGGGCTGGTGAGGATGCCAAACAAATATATTTTCCATTTTGTGTTTTTCACCTGGACGGGGACCCACAGCAGCAAGTGCCCCAGGGTAAGGAGGGCTCCCCATTCCTCTAGGGAATCTGAAAGGATTCAGCTGCAGCTGCAGGAGTATTAAAGTGGCCCCTCCAGTCCATAGGCAGCTCACACGCGTGCACAAACACGCGATGCATGCGTGCACCTGCCTGACCGTGCCTGTTCCCTGCTCCTGTCTCCTAGGATCTTACACAAAATCCCTGATGCTTTCTCTGACATTTCTCCTTCTCACCCTGCAGCTTCCCTGCCTTGTCTGCCAGCCTCATGCTCTCAACTGCTTTTACCTGCGGAACAATGGTAATTCTAAGGATGGAGATGTGCTGCTCACTGCCTTCTTCCCCATCTATTTATACACCAACAAAATGGACACCTACCATTCAGGAGAGCAGTCCATGTTCACAAGGTAGGCTACCTTTGCTTGATTCCTTTTCTTCTCAGAGGTCCCGGTGGTTACCTGTCAGGTCCCTGCAGTAGCAAGGTGAATGAAAGTGGCAAGGAGTCTGTGTCCATGCACAAGCTATCCCCAGCCTCCTGCCCTGATGCGTGGGGGCCTCAGTTGGGGTCTGATGAACATAGTGCCTCTTGGTCCGTGTCTCTGAGGAGTGGGGGAAGAAGTTCTCTGTGGTTCAGGAGGAGCAGCACAGCTGGCTATGCTTCCTGTATTCCATGATACATGGTCCTCAGCCCTGAGCTCTCCAAGCCTTGCACTGGCTTGTTCTTTGTCACCCAGCTCCTCCACATGGGCTACCCCACTATGCTGCTCAGCAGGACACACTGGCATCTCCCTTCAAACTCCTCATTTCTTCAGAAACATCAGTGCACACAGTGCCTCACACTCACACATACACGGCAAGAAAGGAAATATTTACCCCTGTGTAAGATGAATGTGTTTTTATGGATGTAAATGCCTCAACATTTTAATTGGTAGTGGTGGCCCATGTGGGCACTGATTGTCTGAATTCAGTGTGTGGCCCTCATCATGCTTTCTAGAAAGAAAAGAGAAAGAAATATATATGGACACTTCACAAGGGAGATTGTTTAGTCTGCTTCCCTCTTTAGCACACTTTCCTTCCATAGCAAATGATTGTAGCTATTTCTTCATGTATTTCCCATTAGGATAATCTCAGACCCACATCTTTTAGAGATAGTAGTACCACTTCCTACTCTCAAGAACTTTGGCTCATTGCTGCATTTCTTATCAGCGTCTAAATCAATGTGGTAGCACGTAGGGCACTTTGAGCAGAGGGTGGTCCCTTTGGAGATTCCCACATTTTATAGCCATGGTTTCGTGTCTCTGTGATGGTTTTGTGCATCTGAGGGAATCACTTGTTGGTGACTCCACAGAATGCTTTGTTCTGGGAAAAGTGCCTCTGTGGATTGGGGGAGTCCCTGTGTGTTACCAGGCTGACCAGGCATCAAGGGGTATCTGCTCCTGTGGTGGCTAGGAGCAGGAGTCCAGCAGAGCTCTTCGGGGTGTCAGGTATAAAAGGTGAAGATGTTAACATTGGCTGGTGTTCTCACATGCTCTGCCCCTCTCTTTGCTCAGGGAAACAGTGTGTTCAGTGTCATGAGTGAACTCAGAACCACAGAGAACCCAACCCACTCAGGGGCACCAAGTCAGATAGGCAAGGGTCCAGACTCCTGGCCACATCCCACACCCTTCAGAGCACCACAGCCTGGGCAGAAGTTCCCAAGAGGAGTGTTTCCACAGTCCCAGTGATGCAGTTCCAGCCTCAGGAGCCACACCATCCCTACAGAGGTCAGGTGTATATCCTCCTTGCCAGCCGAGGCCTGAGCGGTGTAGAGTTGAGGAAGGAATGCTGGGGGCCTGCCTTCATGTATTGTAGTGGGTGTCCAGCACTGCCACCCTTCTTGGAAACTCCTCCCAAGGCTGTGTGCACTCAGTGTGGAAAGCAGAATTCTCCAGGATACAGAATGATGATTGGCAATGGGCCACTGAAACTCCTCTCACCAAGTTCTGGGAAGAAGGCATATCACTGGTGGCCAGCATCCATGGCCAGTGCTGCCCACTGTTTATGGCCTTACCCGTGCTTAAGGCAGTCTAGGTCCTGTTGTGTGGGATCTGCACTGAGTCCTCCCTTGGTTTTATGGGCATCTTCCTGCAGCCAAGATAACTGAGAGGTCTCCATTTCCAGCCCCGTGAGAGGTCTCAATTTCCTGCTTTTTATTTGGGCTCTTGCCATATTTCACAACAACAAAAATAGACATTTAGTTTCAAGGTGAAAGCATCTAGTTCCTTATTAGTGTGTGAGAAATTGACCCAGAGCCAATACACACAGCAATACACTTAGGACAAAGCAAAACGGAACAACCTCCCACAACCTATAGCACAGAAGCAGCCTTGAGCGAGCAATTCACTCTGAGTTGCCTGTTCCCAGATGTGTTAGTCCCAATTAGTCCCAAGATGCTCTAGGGGAACCCAGCGTTGGAGTGGGACCACAGTATGTTCAAGTGATACAAATTCACCTTCACCCTCTGCCTGATGTGTCTGCTGTTCTGCACATTGGGACTGCAGGCTGAGGGGGGATTTGAATTCTGATATTCTACTGTGCCAAGTACACTGGTGGCAGGACACAAGGACTCTTTCTTATTGGGAAGCCTGCTAGGTTACTGCCTACAAAGCAGTTTGCAAAGCCCACTCACCCACCAGACTGGGCATTTGCAGAGCCCCCTGCCCAGCCATTATGAGACCCTCATTTCTGGCATCAGTATCATGGGCCTCTGCCCAGCAAGGGAAGGTAGGATTTGCCATGAGACAATAGAAACAGCTGGAATTTTGGCTGCTGCAAGACTGCATCGTGACCCTGACATTGCTTCTTCTAATATGTTCTAGAGACAGGGAATTTGAGGAATGAGGGGCTTCCCTGATTCTCCAATGTTTGTGGGCAGGTAGGTGTCTATCAAGCTGGCTCCATGAGCACAGTTAGGTCTCTTTGCAGAGCACATATGTGTTCTGATGCCATTGCGCAGCAGTGTGGAGATGTGTGGAGTTGCTGCTTGTTTCCGGACACAGGTGGACTGGTTCTGTTATCACTGTTGCTGTTAAATCTTTTTGATACAAAGTGATGTGAACTGTGTCTACTGTATTATCCCAGTATGTGAGCCATTTAATTCTATCAATTTAATCATCTGCAGCTCACTTCATTTCCATAGCAGGGCCAGCCGCACTGTGAAGGAAATTTGTGGCAGTTTTCCTGGACAGCAAAGAATACCATATTCTTTTTATGAAAGTCAGAGAGAGTAAGAGACCAAAAAACTCTCTCATTGGCTGATGCACTCTCTAGATTTCTCTAAGAGGGTGTGCTGTGCCAGGGCAAAGGCATGATCTAGGTCCCAAGTAAGGTATCACAAATGAGTGCCAGGAACCCAGCTTCAGGCGCAGTCCCCTGCGGTCTCCCAGGAAGTTTGATTCGAGAACAGAATTTGAGCCTGCCCCCAGATACTGCAGTGTTGTATCCCTGCTTCTGAGAGAGTCATGCTCCTGCTGTGTCTGATACCTCCCCTAGAAGACCACTGCTGGGACTGCATGGAGCTCTAGTCACCACCACTTTTTTTTTTTAACCAGGTTTCTGAGAAGCCACAATTGTACAAAACTGCAAAACTGAGAATGGCAAATATCATTCATTCATTCCCCATCATTGGATGAGACATGTATTTGCATTTCTCTCTTTTGTTTTGCCAGTGCAGTTTATCTGGGGGTTGTCTGAACATTTTTGTCTTGTGTTAAACTTTCATCTGTGGCCTTACAGTAGCTTCTCATTTGCCATATTTGTCTAGGGTACATGGACCTAAGATCCTCAGGTCATGGCAGAGTTCTGTTTCTATACATTTCTTTCCTACCCTATTTCCCAAAACTTCATTTTCACTGTTCACTGTGGAAGATGGAGATATTAGGGGTGCCAGCATTAGCTCTCTGCTTTCAAGTGCTGTGGATCTGTGTTGAGCCAAGTGGTCAGCACCTCCACATGGAGGGGAAGGGTATTCACACACAAGCTTACTGCTTTTTCTTTTTTTTTTCCTCAAAGTTCTCATCTTTTTTCTTTGAAAGTCTAAGTTAATAAAGACAAGATGGAGAGAGAGAATCTTACATCTGCAGGATAGAAGAGTCACTCCCCAAATGGTCATAATGCTCAGAGCTAGACTCACCCCAAGCTGGAAGGTGTAACCTTTTTCTATGTTTCACACACGGGTACAGAATGCCAAGAACAAGAGCCATCCTCTGCTGCTTTCCAGGGCATAAGCAGGGAGCAGGATTAGAAATGAAGTAGTCAGGACACAAAAGAGCATCCAGATATGATTCCTACATGGCACACAGCAGCTTAGCCTAATACACGGTGGTGCCAGCCTGAGGCATGCACAGGTTTAAGCCATGTAATCCTGTGTGAAGTCTCCTGCCCCTGTAAGGAAGCAGTTTGGTCTATAAATCAGCACACCCCTACACGAACTGTCCCAGATGTGACTGGCCTTTCCATCCATTCACCTCCCTTCACCAGAGGAATCCTTGGTAGGAGGGATTGTTCAAGCCTTTCCTGTAATTGGCATTAGAGATCAAACCTGAGAACATTGGGAAGCAGCTCATTTCCAATAGGGGCAAAGATGACCAGATACGTATTCTGAGTGAAGATCATGCTATTTGAACTCACAGGGCCATCCCACCACACACTAGACAGCATGGTTGCACCACAGCACTTTGCTTTGCAGAACTGTGAAGGGTGCAAGGACTGAACAAAGGCACCTGCAGCATGACTGTGACACACACAGCTCAGTCCTCATGCTGTGCATTCATCTTGAGGGATGCAGCAAGTGCCCTTCCACCTGCATTCTCTTGTGGAGAGTAAGCCCACTCCTAGGAGATGCACAAGAATGAGCCCCAGCCAGTCAAACCTCTTCACACCACATCAGCTAATCTTCTAGAGAGTAGTGTGTGCAACATGACTGGGTTAGCTGCGGAGTTCCTAAGTCCTGGGAGTGCCCTTGATGGCAATCATGGTGGGTATGTTTTTCCTAAAGGTCCAGGAGTGGCCATGAAGATGTTTAGGTAAGTGTCAGATGGCCATGAGGGTGGAATCGTCCGCTAAGGATCCCTCTTCCCTACATGCAGGATTCAATTCAAGAACCTCCAGTACCTGCTGGCTCTGGTGTTTGCTGTCGAGGAAATCAACAGGAACCCCCATCTCCTGCCCAACCTCACTCTAGGATTTGATTTCTACAATGTCATGCACAGCAACAGGTGGACGCTGGAGAATTCCCTCACATGGCTGACAGGGCTGGACAGAGGAATTCCTAACTACTCATGCAAGAGTGGGGTCAAGGCTATGGCAGTCATATCAGAGACAAGCATTTCAGTCCAGATGGGGACACTGCTGGAACTGTACAGAATCCCACAGGTGAGGGTGCCTGGGAAGCGGAGAGAAAAATAAACATTCCACTGAGATGCTCTTCCCAGGCTCTTAGGTTGTCATGAGATGGGGTACACACCGTGGGCACAGTGGGTGCTCTGAGCAGGAATGGGCAGGATCCCCAGGATCCTCTAAGGCAGCACAGAGCCCAACTGAGAAAGAGCTAGGGGGATTCTCTGGATACATGCTCCTGATGGCTGATAACCCAAAACGGTCTCAGAGAGAGAGAGAGAGAGAAAGGAGGGAAACGGAAATATTCTCACCTTTCAGCACAAACCAGCCACCATAACACCTGCTATATCAATGTGATGTCTTACAGCAGTGCGGTCACTCACATGTTGTACACATTTCTCTCCTCAGCTCACATTCGGCCCTTTGGATCCTCTTCTGAGTGACAGCAGTCAGTTTCCCTCCGTCTATCAGATGGCCTCAAAGGACACTTCTCTGGCCCTCGCCATGGTCTCCCTGATGCTGCACTTTGGCTGGACGTGGGTGGGACTTGTTGTCTCAGACAAGCAGGAGGGTGTGGCATTTCTCTCCGATCTGAGAGCAGAGATGCAGGAGCATGGCCTCTGCCTGGCCTTTGTGGAGGTGATCGCAATGTTTCAGATCCAGCCTGCCCTGGCAGCTAGGCACAGAATGCCCACCCGAATCAGCAGCTCATCAGCCAGCGTGGTCATTCTCTTTGGTGACACAGGATCTCTCACGTATGAGAACTTTCAGACATGGCAGTCGCTGATAACATGGAAGGTCTGGGTCACCAACTCCCGCTTGGACTTTGCTACCAGTGAGCAACATTTCCTGTTGCATTCCTTCCATGGCACCCTCATCTTCTCTAACCACCGCCGCGAGATTCCGGGATTCCAATGCTTTTTGCAAACACTAACCCCTGCCAGGTACCCAGAGGACGTTTACCTTGCCCTGTTCTGGTCTCTGGCCTTTCACTGCTCCATTTCCAATGCTGACTGCAGGACGCTGCAGGGCTGTCCCATAAATGCTTCCCTGCAATGGCTGCCCTGGGAGGAATTCGACATGAGGATGAGTGATGGGAGTTACCACATATACAATGCGGTGCATGCAATAGCACATTCCCTGCACAAGATGCATCAACGTGATTCAGAAATGCAGCCAAGGAGGCTTAAGGGGAAGACAATGGCACCCCGCTGGCAGGTATGTTAGGTTCCTCCAGCTGATGCATTTCCCAGGAGGGGTCCTGCTTGTGGAGAGTCCCTTCACAGAGGCTCCTTGCTCCCATATGTAAGTAAAGCTGCATGATGCAGTGTTTGGGAGATACAGGCCCAGCTCAGCAAAGGTTTCTATCACCAGACACTTGTCATTGACCAGGTAGAAGCTTTTGTGTCAGGACCAGGGCTGTTGTTACAAAGAGCTCAGCTTCTAGTCCACTCAGTGTTGACATATCAGGTACCCAGACTTCAGAACAAAGCGTTCACATTCAGCTTTCAGAGATTGAGCCCTCTTCATCCACGTTTGGATTTGGGTCACTTCATCTCCTGACAATTGCCTCATGCAGGTAACATTGTGCAAATAGGCCAAGATAGATAACTTAGGCTTCACAGAAGAGAAGTGTCAAAAACCTCCAACCTGCTGGTGTTTGATGGATCGTGTCTTGGGTTGTTTTTCCTTTTGATTATCTGGAGGCTGATATGATTAGATAAAGTTCTCTATTGTCCTTGCTAGAGTTCAGTTCCTTGGGGAGGCCATGGCCACAGACAGAGGTTCGTTCCTGTGTGAGTCCTGTGGCTTCACACATGGCCCTTTCTGATATGATGATTCATTCTTTTTCAGGAGATGCACCCCTTCCTCAGGAGCCTCCAATTTACAAATCCTGCTGGCGACCCTGTGAACTTGGACCAGAAAAGAAAGCTGGCTACAGCCTATGACATTCTCAACTTCTGGAATTTTCCTGAAGGACTTGGCCATAAGGTGAAAGTGGGACATTTCTCTCCCTATGATCCACCAGGGAAACAGTTGTCTGTCTCTGAGGAGTTGATAGAGTGGGCCACGGGGATCACACAGGTGAGTTCATCATGATCTTCCACCACAGTTGGAATGTGACTGTGCCCCATGACCTAAAAAATGTCCTCAGGGGTTTCAAACCACTCCCTGTGCCCCTGTGTATTCCATCATGTTCTTGTGCTTGCTTGGATGGAAAGTAAACACAAATGCTCCCTTGTTTGTTTTCAATCTATTTCCTAGCATACAGGCCACAATCACAAGTCAGTGTATAAGAAACCAGGTATTCACAATTGAACTTTGCAGGGTTCCCAAACTCTAAAGCACTCTCACAGGATTTTTTCCCTGACCAGCCCCACCCATGATCAACAGATGCTTCCCTTCCCCCAGACCCCACACTCAGTGTGCAGTGCCAGCTGTGGCCCTGGGTTCAGGAAGATTGCCCGCGAAGGGGAGCCTGCATGCTGTTTTGATTGTATCCCCTGTCCAGACAACAAGATTGCCAACAAGACCGGTAAGCACAAGACCACCTCACGAAGAGAGTCCACATTTGTCTTTGCCGTTCTTCCGTTTCCACACAGAAATGTCAACAAGTAGGATAGAGCTTTGGAAAGAATTCTTCTTTGAATAGTTTGAATAGTTTTTACTTTCCTTTTTTTTTAAAGATTTATTTTTATTATTTTTTTATTGGAAAGGCGGATATACAGAGAGGAGAGACAGAGAGGAAGATCTTCCGTCCGATGACTCACTCCCCAAGTGAGCGCAAGGGCTGATGCTATGACGATCCGAAGCCAGGATGCTCTTCCGGGTCTCCCACACGGGTGCAGGGTCCCAAAGCTTTGGGTCGTCCTCGACTGCTTTCCCGGGCCACAGGGAGGGAGCTGGATGGGAAGCGGGGCTGCCGGGATTAGAACCGGTACCCGTATGGGATCCCGGGTGTGCAAGGCAAGGACCTTAACCACTGCGCCACCAGGCCGGGTCCTAGTTTTTACTTTTCACAGTCAGGAATTATCTCCCTGATGAAAGAGCTCTCCCTGCTGCACTGTGCCTCCTGTGTTTTCAAGAACACGCAGAAGACATTGAGTGACACTGGAAGGCTGACACAGGTGACATGGAGAGTGAGACATGATGTAAACCATGAATAGAACCTCATATGTGGAAGGGAGACAGAAAGACCATCTAGGCACACCTAGAAAAGCAGATCGGTGATAGCACACTCAAAAAAGACCTTGGAGATGGGATGTGAATGTGAAGGAGAGTAAAGAAAATCTCGCATCATCGTGTGGCAGTTTGATTCTTTTACAGATCAAGCAAAAATTAGGAACCACTGTAAAGTTTCATCAGGAAAAAAATAAGATTACTGACTGTGTGTGTGTGTGTGTGAGTGTATGTGTGTGTGAGTGTGATTTTTACATGTTCATTTCTGTTGTATGTATGTTCTTGGGGTCCGTTCATGTGGACCAACTCTGCAGGGATTTCTGTGAAAATATTAAAAATATTAATATTAAATCATGTTGATAGCTTCGCACAATATGACAGATGACATCCAAACATTCCTGTGGAAAAAAATTATAAAATATATCAAGAAAGCATTTAAAATTTAGGTAGCCTCACAATTGTTAAAGAAACCCATTTGTGATATTTGTGCTGTGGTCAGCAGTTCGCAGGTGACTTTTAACTTTCACAAGGGGAAGAATGCTGGTTCTCTCAATTTCACTTGAGAAGGGGAAAAATAAGTTTGTTAACTGAGAAGCGTTTGTGTAGAATAATGGAATCACAACAGGTCACTTCAGCAAAATGAAGTTTGCAAGACACTGTTTTGGAAAATAATTGCACACATCCCCAAAACAAACAACAAAACTGCCTTCAGCTATGTTTCCTAAGAATGTTGCATTGTGCCCAAATCAGTACACATCCCAAAATTCAGCACATTGGTCCCTAAGTTAAGGGTGCTAATAGCACAAATGCAGGAAAAATGATTTCATGAAGTCAACACTAATCTGGGATTGATTAAAAAACACCTACAGAAACTTCTCATAAATTTCTCAAGAGAAGGGACAGTTTCATATAATAAAGAAGGTCATTTGCAGAATGTCACTGCAGTCTGTGCCTAAAGCTAGAAACAAAATGGTGTATAAAGGCACTTACTGTCATTGTGAATTGCAAAAGAAGGCTGTACTTGAACAAAATAGCCCAAAAAGAAGAATGACTATTCATTGGAAAGAAAGTTGCAAAAGTAATTATGTCTGTGACATGATATTCAGATGGTGTTATTCAGGCAAATCCGTGTATTAGCAATTGTGTTCAGTAGCATCTGAATCCAAGATTGAATGATATAAAGTTCATTTCAACCTACCAGTTCTGATGCATTGGAAATCAAAGCTTCAAAGGGTGACATGCATAGCACTGGAAGTATGAAATGCCCCCCAAAATTGGATAGATTCTGTGTTGAAAGGTTTGTAAACTTGGTAGGGTAATGGGGCAATACAAAGACAGGAGGATGGAGACTGAGATCCGGGGAGTGACAACGCATATCCAAGGCTGAAAACACACAAAGGTGGAAACGTGGCAACAGGCTGCCAGGTGGCTGACATGGGTGATGTGCTTAACTGATCTGGAAGTTGATTGTTCCCGACTATTCACATTCAATATTCTTCCTACTAGTAGTGTATTGCACTCCCTGAACCACAGCTCTTATAAAAGCTTCTCTGGTGCCTTGTGTGCACGGAAGTAGACAAGCAGAAACAACACCAGGTCTCCAGCAGCCCATGGTATTAGCTTGCCAACCCTGGTTGGTTGGCTGGGCTATGAGAGCAGGGAGGGTAATGCAGCATTAAAATAAGGCTGAAGGGAGCAGCCTGCTCATGTCTCACGTGAGGGTGCAGCAAGAATGTACCATGTGTAAGAATGTGACATGTGCAGGCACCAGATATTCCCTTCCCAACCTGAAGAAACCATGAGCAATGAATTGACGGGGTAAGAAACAACAAAGTCTAATAGATTTTTGTTTAAAGAAGAATGAACAGACACAGACATTAGCCTCCACCTCATTACTAAAATAAAAACTATTTTCATCAGCATGCAGCTTACCAAGGGGAGAAAGGAACAGCTTTTTGCCTAACCATGTGTAGAGTGGGCATTCATTATCACTCGTTCCTTATCCTTCATTGGAAGGCCCAAGCTCTAACAATTAGGGACAATTGACGAGAACAGGCTGAAGGAAGGGCCTGTGAACCAGCACTGGATGTGGGATAATAGTGTCGCAACTTTTTCACCAGATATGGACCAGTGTGTGACATGTCCTGATCACGAGTATGCCAATGCAGAGCATGACCAATGCCTGGAAAAACAAGAGACTTTCCTGGCTTTCAAAGATCCCCTGGGAATGGCCCTGGCCTACATGGCTCTGGCCCTCTCCATCCTCACAGCTGCCATCCTAGGAGTCTTTGTGAAGCACCGAGACACACCCATCGTCAAGGCCAATAACCGCAACCTCACCTACATCCTGCTCTTCTCACTCCTCCTCTGCTTCCTCTGCTCCTTCCTCTTCATTGGCCGTCCCAACACAGCCACCTGCCTCCTAAGACAAATCACATTTGCCCTGGTGTTCACACTGGCTGTTTCTGCTGTGCTGGCCAAAACCATCACTGTGGTTCTGGCCTTCAAGGCCATGAAGCCTGGAAGGACTATGAGGCGATTGCTGGTGTCAGGAGCCCCAAACGCTGTTATTCCCATCTGCTTCCTCATCCAACTGACTCTCTGTGGCATCTGGCTGGCAACGTCTCCTCCCTTTGTGGACACAGATGCACACTCTGAGCATGGACACATCATCCTCTTGTGCAACGAGGGCTCCATCACTGCCTTCTACTGTGTGCTGGGCTTCCTGGGCTCATTGGCCCTGTGCACCTTCACTGTGGCTTTCCTTGTCAGGAAGCTGCCTGACATGTTCAATGAAGCCAAGTTCCTGACATTCAGTATGCTGGTGTTCTGCAGTGTGTGGGTGACCTTCCTGCCTGTGTACCAGAGCACCAAAGGGAAGGTCCTGGTGGCAGTGGAGGTCTTCTCCATCTTGGCCTCTGGTGCTGGTCTGCTGGGCTGCATCTTTGTCCCCAAATGCTACCTCATTCTCCTATGGCCCGAGAAGAAATCCCTGAAAGGATTCAAGAATATTCATTCTCAGACCAGCTTCTAAGACTGTCTCACAATTTAGGATCATACAAAAAAATCTGACTGAATTCTGCCTCTGCTTCCTGATGTTATAGACTGAGGTGACTTAAGCTCATTTGTGATCATATCTGTCTCTCTTTTGAAAAGTATTTCAGGGCATCAGTTCTACACCTGGCATCCCTGCTTCCCATCCTGCTCCCTGGTGCTGGCCTGGGAAAGCATTTGAGTATTGCTAAAGCCTTGAAATCCTGCATCCATTTCAGAGAACCCGAAGAAGCTCCAGGTTCCTGGGTTCGAATTGGCTAGCTCCAGCCATTGGGACCACTTGTGCAGTGAAGCAGTAGATGGACAATCTTCCTCTCTGTCCCTCCTCCTCTTTGTTTCTGATTTCCATGAAAAATAAACATCTTTCAAAAATATAGTTCAGTGTCACAGTGTGCTTAGGTGAGTGTCCAGAGATAGAAACACATCACACTTCAGGCTAAGGTAATTCTCAAGCATTTTAATTTCTACCTGATTTCCTAATCCTAACTGAAAAAACACTCATGTTTTATCTTAATCTAATACATGAGCTCTCACATTTATCTGTTTCCTCCATTGGGATTTTATATTAAATTAAAACATTTAGATTCACTGTAGGTTTCCTAGATGTAATATTTTGTCACTTTAATTTTCACATGTAGACAATATTATCCATAAAATTCTTAAACATATATGTCATTATCAGAGAATATGAATGTTCTCATCATCAAACACCAGTTTTCTTTACAAATACAATCAGTTTGAAGAATATGGCCTCTTGCATCTCTTCATTCTGGTTATTTATCTTAGCTTTAGGATTTCTTCTGTTTTCTTGTTCCTTAAACACTCACTGTCTATTTCTATGCTGTCACACAGCCATCAATCTGCTTTCTATTTCCATGACATTGACTGTGTAGAGTATTTCCTATGAAGACATCCAGCACTGTATGAACAACAACGTTAGCCTTCTTTCCTTTAGCACCCTGTTTTCTTGTGTCATCCATAAGTGACTAAGCATCCCTGACACATCGCATGACAAAGTAAAAAGTTCATTGTATTGACACATTGAGTTTTGTTTCTGCACAAGTAGAATGGGAGTTGTTTTCATATTTTATCATATAGGCTGCTGTGAACACTGTTGTGTAAACATCGGTTTGGGTGGGTATTGTCAGTTCCCTTGGGTATACTGCTAAGGATGGAATGATTAGGTCATAGGTGATTTATATGTCTATTTCCTTGAAGAGAATCTAAATGTTTGGAGCTGTATTCATCGTGTCTCTCTTCATCCTCAATGTATGTGGGCGATGCATTTCCCTGCATGACCCCAGTTACCAGTGAAGGTGTTGCTCTCCATTTGTAAATGTCATGTTATCTTACCTGGTCTATTTGAGGTGCTATCTCCATGTGGCTTTGATGGATACATCTATTGTTACTGATGATTCCTGGGGTGTATGCTGCTTTATGCTCACAAGGTTCTCTGTGGGGCTTTTATCCCCACTGTCAGTAGTTTTCTTTCTATTGTTTTTGTTGCTCCTACTTGGGGCATATTTTGATGCCAGGCGATCTCTGGCATGCTTTGTTGGCATCTTCCATTCTTTGCATGGTGTTTTCTCTTTCACGTTGTTGTTAATACACAAAGTGTTTTGCTGTGATCCAGGCTGGCCTACCTATTTGTCCCTTACAACCATGTGCTTAAGACAGCAAATAAATAAAGGGGGAATGTATTGATAGCACTACATAAAGCTCATATACATTTCAGGTGATATAACTGTTCAAGATCAACCCATGTAATTGAGTAAATCTGCAAGCAACTGGGAGATGCATGATACATTGCTCAGCTGTTTTAACAACGCTGTGTACCTTCACATTAAGCTCCTGAGTTTTTGTTAAAATTCATGTAATTATGGAAATGTCAGAGTTAGAGAGACAGGGAGTATATTCTATCCGAGTCACGGTACCAGATATCGGGGGTCCTCCCGTCCCGCGGAAGAAATCACCCGACACTTGAGAGAGTCTCTAAGGCGCCTTTATTCTGATCTTCCGTTCCGTCCGTTAACTCCGTTGTGACCGTTATATCCGTTATGACCGTTACGCTCCAGCCCCTCCCCCGCCAAGCCCCCTGCTTAACTGTCAAACTTGACCAATCAACTTAAAGATAACCAAGGCACACCAATCAGGGCAAAGGGCCAATCACAGGGCAGGAAATGGTCAGTGCCCCCAACAAGGGAGAGATACAGAGGAATTGTTGACTCAATCTTTTCCTCCACCAGCAAGTGGAAGAGCGGGAGTTGGGCTGACCTGAAGCCAGCAGCAAGGAGCTCCTTCCAGGTCTTCCATGTGGGTGCAGGTGCCCAAGCACTTGATCCTTTCTCTGCTGCTTTCCCGACACATGAGTGTCTTTGTGCAGTACATGATCTCTAATGCCAGATGAGTGGTGACAAACAACTTGCATTCTGGTTTGTTCTGGAACATTTCCATTTCATCTTATGGTGATTTACTGGAGATGCTTCACAGTGGCCTATGCCCAATGGCTACAAATTACATAAGATATTTTCCTGGGAAAACTCATATATTTTAATTGGAAGGCACGTTTACAAAGAGAAGGACATATAAATATGTTAACTTAAATCTGTCATTGTCTATTTTATATATTGGATTTTTTTAAACCACTGGCAAATATTCTAGAATTCTCTGAAATGCCTTCCTATCTCAAAGACTTTTTGCTATCTTTGTTCATTACTGCCACTTGAGGAGCAAAAATAGTAGAAAGAAAATATGCTTCTCACTTTCTCCTTCTCTTTGAAAATCTCCTTTTCAATAAAAAAAAATATATATCTAAAACTAAACTTGTGCTTCAATGGTAATTGAGAATGGGTTGTAGTTCTGGAAATTTCCAAAGCCTGAACTGGTATGAGATCACGGTGGACACCTGGAAAATTTGTGCAGTTGCGTCCTCCCTTTCCGGACATTGGAGCATTTCAAGCAGAGATGTTCCTTCATGAACTCACCCAACACCTTTCATGGCCATCTGGATTATCAAAGTGGTTCCTTGACAAGGTCTCTGGCCCAGATCTCACAGACGATCCCCCCGGGAGTATTGCTGTTCATGGAATGGTTGACATGACAGCACTGTGGGCTAAACAGGAAGCTGAGCAAACATGTTTTCCATCTTGTGTTTATCACCTGGACGGGATCCCACAGCAGCAGGTGCCCCAGGGACAGCAGGGCTCTCCATTGCCCCAGGGAGTCTGTAAGGAGTAAGCTGCAGAACTATTAGACTGGCCACCCCAGTCTACAGGCAGCTCACACACACAGCTTACACATGCACCTGTCACGCTGTGTCAGTTTCCTGACCCTGCCTCCTAGGATTTTGCACAAAGTCCCAGATGCATCCTCTGCTCTTTCTCCTTCTCATTCTGCAGCTTCCCTGCCCTGTGTGCCAGCTGCTGGGTGGCCACTACTACTTTCACATCATGGACTGTGGTGATTCCAAGGATGGAGATGTGATGCTCACTGCCTTCTTACCAATCTGCTTATACTATGTCAAAATGACCATAAACAAGCCTGAAGAATATCTCATTTCAAATGGTAGGTGTCCTTTCCTTTATACTTCTCACCCTGCATGTCCTGCTGGTTAACCGTCAGGGCCCTGGAGGGAGTGAGGTGAGTGTAGTCTCTGTATCTGGGCAGGCAACCACCGGACTCTTGCCCCAAACCTGCGGGGCCCCAGCTGCAGTCTGATGAACACAGCACCCTTGCTCTGCATCTCTGAGTTGTTGGGCAAGATGTTTTGTGTGTTTCAGGAGGAACAGCAATGCTGCTGGCACCCCCTTCCTCCACACTCCATGGACCCCAGCCCAGGGCTCTCCCAGTCTGCATTGGCACCCAAATGCTCTTATTCACCCAGCTTCTGCACACAATTTGCCACACGGTCTGCTTAGCACTACACCCATGGGGGAATCCTTGTGTGTTACTTGGACTGGAGAACGTGTGCTATTTGCTCAGGTGTTAGCTACGAGCCCGCATAGAAAATGGGAATGTCATTGCTGGCTAGTGTGATGGTAGCCTCTGCCCTCTATTTGCCCAGGAGAATATGCAAAAACTGCCATGAGTGGACTCAGAAACACAGAGAACTCAACCCACTCAGGGACACTGAGACAGACAGGCAATGACCAAGTATGACCCCTGGCCATGCCTCTCACCTTTCACAGCAGCACAGCCTGGGCAAAAGTTCAGTAAAAGAGGGGTTTCCACGGTCCGAGGGATCAGCTCATTTGTTTCTATCATAAATAGCTTGCCATGCTACTGAGAGGTCAGGTGGACCTCCACCTATGTCAGAGAAATCCCTGAGTTCTGTTGAGGGGAGAGATGAATGCTCAGTACCTACATTCATGGAGTAGAGTGGGTGCTGAACACTGTAACACCTCCTGAAAGCCTTGCCCCATGCCATCTACACTTAGGTTAGAGAATGCTCCCTGACGCAGAGTCCTCCTGACACAAGGTCCTCCTGCACCCCAGAGCACTGAATCTCTTCTCATCTTGCTCTGGGAAGAAGACATCCCAGCTGGCCAGCAGTCAGGGCCAGTGTTGCTTGCTGCTAAACCGTCCTTACTCAGTGTCCACGGCAGCATAGGGTCTGTCATGTGTGATCTGCATATGGAACCCCCTGAGGTTTTTATGACATCTTCCTGCAGCAAAGATAAGTGAGATGTTTCCATGTCCAGTAATGTGGAATCTCTCAGTTTCCTGTTTTCATTTCAGGCTCTTGATATAGTTAAGAGAAACTCATAGGCATTTACTTTCAAGGTGAAAGAACTGATTCCTCCATTACTGTGAGAGATACAGACCCAGGGACAATACATACAGTCATGGATATATTATAAAGGAAACAAGAGCAATCTCCCTGAACTCAGTGCACAGAAACAGCCTTGAGTGAGCTGTTTCCTGTGAGTTGTCTGTTGCTGAGATGTGTTAGACCTGAGGAGGATGTGGTTTGCTGTGTGC